AGAACAACCTCAAGAGGAGGAGTGTTCTTCGGCTCGAGTGAGCTGGTGAGTGTGAGGATGGAATGGATCTGATCCGGTCTCCTCTCCCGTGTCGTCATCCCTTCTCTATGGTGGTGGTTAAGTCCTATTTATAGCGGCCTTGGTCCTCTTCCCGAATGAAAGGCGGGAAGGGATCCCACAACGGCCAAATTCGAAGGGAGACAACTAGTACATGCTATCCTGACAAAAGTAGTCTTCGCCTGCAAAAGCCTTTGGTCGTGACGCCGTGGTGGGCTCGGTGATGACCTCCGTCCTGCGGTCCTGGCGGTCTTGGTCTTGTTGCACGGGAATGAAAACCTTTGGCTAATTCCTCGGGACTCTGCGTTTGCGCTTGCCTCTTTAGCACCGAAGAGGAAACTGATACACTACGCCCGCTGACGCCCGTCTAGCCTTGGTCGTCATGGCTCACATCATCCGAACCTCGCGAGGTGAGGCTTGCATAGGAATATCCGCTCCTCAGGAGCCAGCCTGGGGAGGCTGCTCCTCTAGAGGTCTTGGTGTCGTCCGCCTCGCGAGGCTTGGCCCCTCGCGAGGGTCTTGAGTTGCTGATGTCGAGGCTGGGCCATATCAGACCGTCGATGGGGCCACGCCGTGGGCCGCAGGCAGGCAAGTCTGGTTACCCCCGTTCCCAGGACGCCGACATCCGCCCTCGACAATCGACACCAAAACGTCAGCAGCTAGCACATGTAGGTGCGCCCAACAACCCATGCGCATCCCTTCATCTTGCCTCAGATCCGAGAGGGAGAGGTGAGAAGTATACAGCGTGTGGCGGCTGTGAGGGATCTTCGAAGGCAGGGGACCATGGCGGAGTGTGGCAGCGTAAAATTAGCTAGATGGGATGTGATGAATCCTCTAACGTATCAGGTTAGTCCAGAACACCCCCCCTCCGATCCACCTAATGTGTTACTGGTTTGCCGCCAATCTAGGTATATATAAGATGCCATGTCTCGTGGTTTATTTTTGCTTTTGTTCATACATGAGTGAATACATCCACTATGGAACCATGTACATAAATTAGTTGCAGTCCCTTGCATCTAGCGAGCGATGAATTCCTATTGGCTCCAGTGAATGCATACATCCAAATATGAACATTATTTTGATTGATTTGACACACCCACCGGAAAATCTAATCCTGGCTGGATTGAGTGAAAAGATGAAGTTCTTAAGATTCGTGAAGATCTCATTTAGACTTGAGGTACTAATCCTTCTGATTCTCCATGCATCAGTTTCCTCTGCGATACAGTTTATTTATTACTGTGTTACCTTCAGATGGCTACAACTTTACTCTCCTTTGTTTCAAGGATCCACATAAGCATCTGGTAGATTGGTCATAGATACCAAATTTCCTTTTGGATTTTCCAGGGTCTTTGCTTGCTGGCATGCACGTCAATTATTTGGCAAAATGTCAGACTAATAAAGTGGGTGAAGACACTGCACATGGTTGTTTGTTAACGGTAGATACTGCAACATTTCAACCAAGTCTATAGAGGCAAGTAATTTGATTTTCTAGATATCTACACATGGAATTATAGTTTGGGCAGTTCATGTATATCAGCATGTGTTCCTCTTTTTTCATAGATAGTCATCTTAACGAGTTCAACACACTAGCAAGATTTTCGTCAACCATTTCAGTTTACTATCTGTTGCTTTTTTTGGCTGTCACATATTGGCCTCACAACAATAATTTGGTACTTCATTGCCGTACAAGATTCCTTTCGCTTGAATTGTGATCAGAAGATACTTGCTTCATGTCTTTCAGATACTGTTACACTAGCTTACGCTGGGGATATGGAGTGTGCATCCAGATTTGACAAAATTTCATAATTGAAGGTATAGTTGTTGATCCAAGTTATGCTTACACGCACATATGCATGTGAATATGTTTTCTCTCATTAATAATGATACTTATGAGAGTATCTTTTTCTTTTGTAGCACGAGGGGACAATGGTTAGTGTGGAACAGGTTAAAGGAGAAACTTGATCAATATGAGACAGACACTTTCTTGAATGTTGCCTTGGTAATATATTGTTTGGGTGTACAGTTGAGTTTCGTCCACTTAACCAATCAACTCATATAACCAATAATATGTGTGTTGATTTTTTTGCATGTTTAGCGTCACTTTATTGGCTGCAAATTTGTTATCGATATGAATGATTAATTTAAGATAATGTGTGACAAATTTTTGTGTTGTCATGGACGACACGTGTTGAATGCCGGAGAATACCTCTGTACTTAATGTTTTATTTTGCACTTTAAGATAAACAGGGATTTTTTTCTTTGCATTAGTTTTACTTGATTTTGTAGCATCTATTTATACATTTATTTGTTATACAAGATTCCCGCAGCAACGCGCAGGGTATCACCTAGTTAACTAGTATATGGATAGGGCAAGTTAGGGTCCTAAACAGATAAACAGGAATCCAATCTTAGTGTGAAGCCAGCCATATAATTGGAAACGAAATGCTTACATTTAACAAATGCATACTATTCCTTTGCTGCCGTTCCTGTTATTTAGCATGCAGAAGGGCATGAGAAGCAAGCAAGCAGGATAAAGAAAAAAAGACAGAAAAGTGTGAGGCTTATGGAAGGAAATAATTAGGCATCCTTTGTTATTTTAAGGCTACTGAAAGAAACATGACAATAAAAGAACGAAACTGCATTTTCTTATTCAACATGGTCAGGAGGGATTAGCACAAAGAAACAAGGGCTCTTCACCGTCGAGCTTCTGGTTAGCAAACGAGTAGCAGCAGCACGTAGGTCGCCTCCCACCTCATCTTCTTGCTTAGTTTCATCTTCCTTCCACAACAACACCAATTAGAGAAAGCCCAAGGGACCAAAAGTCCAAAACCCAAAGAGGAATAGAGGGAGGGAGATATCAATCGAGTGAACTACCTGGTGTACTTGTTGTAGCATCTTCCTGGTGTCCCTGGCTTATGCTCCTAACCTACTGATTTTAGCTCACTGTTGTCCGCAGCCGCACCACCAAGTCGCCAATCGCCCCCACTGTCTTTAATGGATCCAGGGACAGCAGGCAACACCAATGGGGATGTTGAGGCCGGGAAGCTGCCGGGGCTATCGCCCCGTGCCTGCCCATACGCGGCCGACTGTGATGGCTGCGGCTGGCCCAACATCTGCGGAGGGGTGACGCTTGCTGGTTCAGCGGCATGGGCGGTGTGATCGCGCCCCACTGTGGCGGATACTGGGGGTGCGGTTGGGTGATGCCGGGCTACAGCTCCTGCATATGCAGGTAGGGTGGATGGCGGGATGAACCCTTGCGCGTGGTCAAAGAGTTCAAGCTTGCATTCCAAGATTGGTCCATATGTATAAGTTGTAAGTACTTGTACCAAATAATTGTGTATAAACAGAGGAGCTTCTAGATTACTGCAGGACAAACAGTTGCAAAGCAGAATCATACCTGGTAAACAATGCATGAACATCCAAGTCGTTCCCCTTTAGTTTTGGACCAGTCCTGTACCACCCAACAACATGCTCCTTGGCTGCATCCGAAACAACTCATAAGTACACAGCAGAAATAAACCGCACACGGCAAGTCCAGCATACCTGATGAGAATTCTAAAACAGCATACCATTGATGCTCTTGAACATGGAGAACACAGACTCATGGTAATTATGGTCGAGGAACCGGATCCTCGGGTCCTTGTCATCCTCCTCAAATGGCACTGCAAGATCAAACGCCGCCATAATTAACAAATTCAGCAAACCTCCACCGTAAACAGCTCTACAGATCTAATCACGCAAGGGTTTCACACGCCAGCAGATCTAACTGCAGCTACGGCCAGGACGAGTTCCGCGAACCCTAGGCCCCGGCAGAGGCGCGGATTTCTTCGGAAACAGGCGGGGCGGACCCGGACGGCGCAAACCCTAGCAGGCCAGAGACGGGGGCTTCGCTCGCATACGAGTGTAGGAGTTGGTGACGTCGATGACGCCGCGGGAGGAGGTGCCGAGGAGCACGCCAACAATGCGCTTCCGGGTGTCGCGGGCGATGCAGTTGTAGTGGTCGACGATGCTGAG